CTTTTTTAACATGTTTAATCTCTCTCCTCAGACTTTCCCGATCTGACACTGTTTTAGCCTGATGTACGAGCGTATTAATGAGAGAGGATTTCTGAGCGGGGTGATGATGCGAATCTGCATTCAGATAGGCATCAGTGTGTATTTCCTTTCGGTAAATGCTGTGTGTGATTTTACCGTTTAGGCCGCGTCCGTGCATAATATCCAGGAATGGGAGTATGTTATTCACCTTCACTTCCACGGTGAACTGGATGGCTGGGTTTTGTGAATTGAGATGATTTAGAAATTCATTAAGTGTATCTTAACAATGTGGCCAGACAACCAAAGTGTCATCCATAAACCAAAAAGATGGTTTTAGTGTACTTGAAGCAAGCGCTTTTATTTCAAAGTTTTCCACGTACAGATCCGCAATAGCTCCTTCCTTTTGTTTAAAGAAATCACCTCTCCATAAGAAATACGTGTTATTTAGACAATAGTCAGCTAGTTTTGGAATATCTTTTGGTAAACCTGTCTCATTTACTCTCGAGTAATTTAATTGACTCGTTAACCATAATCTAAGTAAATGGAGACATTACATCAACGCTCACTATAATATCATTAGGGTGACGTTTAATATCTTTAATCACATTCACAAGATGTTCTGAATTTCTTATGAATGAAGATGTCCTACTGATGTAGGGCTGTATTTGTTTAGTTACATACAAATAATTTTAACCGCTCTGACAATACCAGGCTTAGTGCGGCCTGGAAGCGTATTATTAAGAATATATCTTACAACTGCATTCCTTATCGAGGAAACGCATGCTAATTAACTGATTAGTAATCTATTATATAATTACAATAACCACCTCCTCCGCCTCTGATCTCTGCACCTGATGGGTTCAGTGATCACGTCGTCCTGCTCGATTTAAGACCGGAAGCAGGTGGATTGCGTCACTATTCTGGCAAATTGCCCGACGATGCTGGATGTAATTACCAGCAAAGAGTCGTATTCAAATTGTAAATGTTGTGGATTTACTCTCAAATACACTAGTGGGCTGAAGTAGTAACTAATTGGCGTGTTGTTTACGTGACAAACCCGACAGGCTGTGCCGGGTGGTGGAGGGTTATTGCGGTGCCACGGCTTCGAAGCCACTCTGTAAGCGCCATCAACCCCCCTGGCTACCACACTGAGCACACACACACGCAGTGCACACGCGTAGTGTCCTGGCCGGGGATTGCTTGGCACAACGGGTTTTAATCCGAAGGGTCCCTATGAGGAAAGTCCCACGGTTTCCTGGTGCCAGGGGGACTGGCCGACCCTCGCAGGACAGGTTACATTGCGGTGTCCCTGAGTTGGCTTAATAGGGAATGGGCGCAAAAAAGGTTTACCCGGCCAACCGCATTGGCCGCGCGGTACAACGCGACCCCTCCAGGGGGCTAAAAAGGGGAGCCTGAGGCCGTTCTAAGGAGACTCTTGTGGAACATCTTGGTCGCCAAGAACCGCCCCCCCCTCCCACCCCTGCCGTCCTGCCTTCTCGAGCCGCTCGCAGCATCCGCCAGCGATTGCCGCCACGAGGCAGCGATAGGCAAAGTTTTCCGTCCTCTACCCTCCGACTCTCACAGCGTCCATGCGACGCCGTGAGTACAGCTACGAGTTACGCAGTAGGGCGTTTGAGTAACTGGGGGACTTGGGCAGCAGTAGGCTAGGCTCTTCTCGCGAAATATTCCCCCCCCCCCCCCCCCCCCCCGGGGTTAGTGCGGGGTTAGCGCCGAGAATAAAAGTTAGCGCAGAGCGTAGGCGCGGCGGCGTCTGTGGTTCCTGTGTGGAGCGACTGCGCGGGGGGAGACGCGGGGCCACGGCGTGCGCGGCGCGTCCAGAGGTAGTCGCTCGCAGGTGCGAGCGCGTTCGTGCCCCCCCCTGTGTTAGCGATAGCTGCGGCGGTGTGCACGGGTGTGTGGTCTAACTCCGTGTGGCCACGAGCCAGCAGAACGAGTACGCCCCTCCGAGAGGGCGCTAGCACGGGGAGGGGGGGGGGGCCCATCACTTGGTCGGCGGGGGCCCGGCGGGGGCCGACCGACGCGGTGGAGGAGCGAGCGGAACCGGGCGGACGTGGCGCCTCACCGGCCTAGCGAGGGCGGTGGGGTGGACGTCGGGCCACACATTGTGACACATACCCACGCGATTTCACCCAAAAAAAAAACCTTTATTATGAATATTTATGCGTGTTGTCCAATAATTTGCACGTGTGTCGTGCATATTTGTCACTTAATAGTTGTTATGAATCGATGCCTTGCATTCCAAAAAACTACACCGTGTTTCATACTCTGTGGGTCTTTACCGAAAGAATAGTATTAATTCCTGCAGTCACGGAAGCTTTTAAGTCTACACTGTTTTATTTACAAGGCAAGGCCCACTCAGCTATACAGCTCTTTTTTTCAGAAACGACCTGGCCACAAATGACAGCTCAGCAAGAAACGACCTGGCCGTAAATGACAGTTCAATAAAAGTGGTTTATCACGTGGACATTTATAGCAGCCAAATACTTTGAACGCATGTTGATTCTAAATGTTGAGGGCAAAACCGGGCGACCCCGGAGAAAAATTCACGTGACCACGGGGGAGAACATGCAAACTCCAAATATACTAGTGTCAGAATTTGGATCGAACCCACGACCTCCTGTATACCAGGGGTGGTAGTTAACATCTCACCACCGTGGTGCCCCAATAATGTGCGTACAGCACATAACGAGGGATGTGCACTCCCAGAAGGCTGTTGGTCAGACGAGTGATGTGGACAGACAACTCTCTTTTATATTCTCCACAATGATGTCGATAATTATGTTCTTATTAAATGACAGCCTTACTCATGGCTGCATCACAAAGTGGATTATGCAAATTGTGTTGTCCATTGACCTCACAACAGTGCTACCCACAATGCAATGCGCCAACAACATTTTGATAACTTTCAATATAAATCAATGAATTTAGCAGGATTGCTTGAAGGTTTTGTCTGCTACTCAATAGCTACGCATAATCTCCATATATATAAAAGGCAAAGTTGTAAATATGTGTGTCTGTTCAAAATGTTTAGCGTACTTCCCGACATGTAACAAACTGGAAATTTGCCATGTAGGTACTTTCCAGACTGTACATCATGCAAAAATTATCAAAATACACTTTTTTTTTTTGGGGGGGGGGGGGGGGAGCTCAATAATGCATATAGTTTTTGCACGGGGCAAGTGAGCTGTGACGTCAAATCTGTCACGTGACCCACGCACGTGGAAACGTAACGCATTGTAGTGTAGTGGTTAGCGCGCTGCGCTACGAACCCGGCGACCCCAGTTCGATTCCCGCTCATGGCCGCCACCGGTGACGATTATTTCAACCGTTTCTGGGCCTCCCCTAGGTCGACTCAGCCTCAAATGAGTAACTGCTGTGGTGTGTGAACATCGCCACTCGGGAGACAAAGGCTATATTTTACTATATTAAAAAAAACCAACCCCGTTTATCGGCATTTTTTTATTCAAATCTCATCAGGTCTCATGGTGGAAAGACGTGCAAGTCTCCAGGTCTTATCACCTCCTAAACTATCTTTTTACACGCCTGTAAAGTGTAAAACCATACGGTTTACCCGTATTCATGTACGGGGAAATTGAGTTTTCATGTCCATACAGCGTAAATCCCGTTTCAATACGGGCAACATGTTTTTGTCTTATTTGTTTGTGTTTCTCCCTTGTGATGGGACTTTGTAGGATGAACGTTGAGATTTATAAGGGGCACGGGGTGACCAATAAGGTCTGAATTGGTCTGTAATAAGAGAGGACACTGATAAGGGGTTGACAGGTATGCAGTGGTGAGTGTAGTGGTGAGTGAACCAGTGGTGAGTGTACCAGTGGTGAGTGTAGTAGTGGTAAGTGTAGTAGCGGTGAGTGTAGCGGTGAGTGTACTAGTGGTGAGTGTAGTAGCGGTGAGTGTATCAGTGGTGAGTGTACTAGAGGTGAGTGTAGTAGCGGTGAGTGTACCAGTGGTGAGCGTACCAGTGGTGAGTGTAGTAGCGGTGAGTGTACTAGCGGTGAGTGTAGTGGTGAGTGTATCAATGGTGAGTGTACTAGTGGTGAGTGTAGTAGCGGTGAGTGTACTAGCGGTGAGTGTACCAGCGGTGAGTGCAGTGGTGAGTGTACCAGTCGTGAGTGTAGTGGTGAGTGTAGTAGCGGTGAGTGTAGTAGCGGTGAGTGTACTAGCGGTGAGTGTATCAGTGGTGAGTGTACTAGTGGTGAGTGTACTAGTGGTGAGTGTAGTGGTGAGTGTACTAGTGGTGAGTGTACTAGTGGTGAGTGTAGTGGTGAGTGTACTAGCGATGAGTGTATCAGTGGTGAGTGTACTAGTGGTGAGTGTACCAGTGGTGAATGTACTAGTGGTGTGTAGTGGTGAGTATAGTAGAGGTGAGTGTACTAGTGGTGAGTGTACCAGTGGTGAATGTACTAGTGGTGTGTAGTGGTGAGTATAGTAGAGGTGAGTGTACCAGTGGTGAGTGTACCAGTGGTGAGTGTAGTAGCGGTGAGTCTAGTGGTGAGTGAATCAGTGGTGAGTGTACTAGTGGTGAGTGTACTAGTGGTGAGTGTAGTAGCGGTGAGTCTAGTGGTGAGTGTACTAGTGGTGAGTGTAGTAGCGGTGAGTGTGCCAGTGGTGAGTGTACCGGTGGTGAGTGTACCGGTGGTGAGTGTAGTGGTGGTGAGTGTAGTGGTGGTGAGCGTACCGGTGGTGAGTGTACTAGCGGTGAGTGTAGTGGTGAGTGTACTAGCGGTGAGATGCACTGAGCATCAACGTCAACGCCAGAGCGGCGGGTGGCTCAACAATGAACGCGAGAGACGAACCTACCAAACTCTTTTATACCCCCATCACCACCAGCGTGGTCAACGTCTCGCTGAACACTTCCACGTTCGACAAACGCCCTCAGAGCGGACGCGCATCGCCTCGCCCGTCGTCTTGACGGTTACAAATCTGCCTCGAGGGCGTCGCGTGCTTAGCATAAGTGTGTCTCCCTCATCATCATCATCCTCCTCCTGTGTGTGTGTTGTGGTGTTGTTGTGTTTACCTCTGGTTCCCTGAGGGAGCCGACTGCGTCTAAAGCCCTCCTCTCCTTACTAGTCGCTCGAACGCGTCAGGTAACGAGGCGTCTTCGTCTTTATTATTATTCTTGTCATCGTCGTCGTCGTCAATCGCGCGTTAATTTTTGCCCGAGGAGATGATCGTGGATCCTAAAGGGGCTTGCGAGGTTGTCGCGGCGAACACGCGGAACTGACTACGTTGTTTTGTGTTGTTGTTGACGATTGTTGTTTGCATTGCCGGCTAGTGAGCGGTGTGAGGCGGTCTTTTGAGTGAGGTGAGGGGAGGCCTTCATCCAGCAGTGGATCGATCAAGGCCGGTGGTGATTGTCGAGATAAACGTATTGCTTAAAACAACCGCATCCCGCTTTTTTTAATTATCGCCCAACGCTCCACTGCTGCACGAAGGCCTTCCCCCAAGCCGTCGTTCATCGAGGCTTGTTTGACCATACTTCACCTTGTTGGTCATTTGCGTTGCTGGGGGGGGGGGTGGTGAGTGACACAAGGCCTGCGAGGCACACACCGGGAGGGTGGCTGGTGTGGCCGGAACCACGGCCGCGACAGCCCACGGTGTGTTGTACAGTACTCGTTTAAGGCCGAGTCGACGTAGTTGGAGGTCCCAGGACTGGGTCCGGCATCGAACTCCCGCACACTCCTCGGGGCTAGGAGCACGGTGTTGCTAACCGCTGCGCCACCGCTCCCTCCGCCCTCTTCCCCAAGTTAATGAACTCATACCAATGTCACCCCTTTGTTTCTAAATCGTAAAAAAAAATGCACGCTGTTAACAAACACGTCGGTTTGATGGGACAAAGTAAGTCGTCACGTACGTGCATAATGCAGGGTTTTTTTTTTGGGGGGGGGGGGGAGTTAGATCGCGTAAATATATAAATGTGTCGTTATACCCGCCACCACCCGACACAGACAACTGACGTAAACGGAACGTGCCAATTCGTCACTAGTACAGCACTGGTGTATAGTGTAGTGTATAGTAGTGTCGTTTATAGTGTAGTGTACTAGTACAGCAACACCGGTTTTGTGTTGTAGGGCCTTTTCACCATATTTCACCAATTGCTCGGATTTCTATCTGCTTAATTGCTCTACTCTATTCCCTTTGCCATTGTAATTTTGATGACGCGTGTCCCTCATGGTTTTTTGAGTTCACATTCTAGTTAATCAGCATAAATTCACTTCCCGAAAGTATCACTTTCATTTTGTGGTTTTTTGTGCCGATACACCACGGACCCCCCTTGCAAACTAGCTGGGTATGCTCGCTAAACGGGATTTTCCACGTAAAAAAAAATGAACATTGAATTGAACTTGATGCTGCTCAGTGCAGGTTAATGAATGGGGCTAGTCCATGACCTCTTAAAGTTATCACTCCCCATCGATGTTAGCCGTGGTTGGGAATCAGACTCGGGTCGTTAGGTTCGTAGCGCGGTGGGTTAACCAATACGCCATGAATCCTCCCCATGAATAGTAATAATACAGCAAAAAGGATAATCTGAACGCGTGTGCCATTTAAATGTCATCAATATCAGTCAAGATGCTGCAGAAAGCAATTCACGTAAACATGAAAAAAAAGGAAATGTAGCAAAATAAAAAAAATAATGAAACCGCAACAAAAGTTGGACCACGTGTTCCCGTGATGCAATGCTCAACACAAGTACAGTGCCGCTAATGCCACCGCAAAATCCGTAATGCTCATGGGATTGGTGATGTGCAAAGTAGGCTATCCGCAATATACATTTTCACGATTATGGAGAAGACCCCGGGGCCGGGCCAGGATACGCTGGTGGGACTATGTCGCTCAGCTGGCCTGGGAATTCCTGGGAATTCCTGGGAATTCCCGAGGAAGAACTAGAGTCTTGTCGCCAGGCAAAGGGAGGTCTGGACCGCCCTACTCAACATGCTGCAGCCGTGACTCTCATCAGGACAAGCGGACTGAGAAACGAACGCCACGGACGATTATGACGAGTCATTTCCACATTGAACGATTATCGCGGTGTTAGTTTCTCGGCCTGTTGCGATATTTCGTGATTATCATTCCTCTTTTCACGTTTCTAAAATATTCCGGCACCCAAATAAGATATTTGATTTCGATTTAAAGCTTTCGTGACTGCAAGGATTCATCTTCTTTGGTTCTTTCGGTAAAGTCACGTAGAATGAGAATAAAATAATAAAATAAAACAATAAAATTCTCATTCTGCGTGACTTTACCAAAAGAACCAAAGAAGAAGATATTTGATGTAATCGTGAACTATAATTAAAGCTATAAATAAATAGCTGCTGTCCATGAAATTAGCAGTCTGCAAATTATTTTTTGAAAGCATCGATATTCGTCATTGTCGTAGTTCAGCTAATTATTCTTATGTAACCGACAGCAAGTTTGTTCTAAATGTTATAGCTTGTAAAGATGTAATGATTATAAGGCAGGGTACTATTGAATAACCCGCAGTTAAAGAACCTTCACAAAACCCGTCTGTCCTGGGAGTACTGTAACGTATGAAAACAAAGCGCAGTAAAAATGTTAGGTGCAATTACAAAGTTGTGGGATGCTGATATCGCAATAAGCGTCATATCGTGTAATTCGATATATCGTGTAATTCGATTTCATATCGTATCGTGAAAAAATATATCGCGGCTACCCTATTCGTTTCCCATAACTTTGTAATTGTACGTAAAAATTTTTTATGTTGGTTTTCGCAGCTAACATTATTTTTCGTCTTGAAATCAAATAATTGTGTGTGTAATATAATCTGTATCATGCGGAAGTGTCCGTTCGTCACGCTCTGTATCTCACAAACGGTAGGTCGTACGATGGCAACATGAACACTAAAAGTTTCTCTTGGAGAGGAACATAGCTGCGGAATTGTCACCTTTCCTGATTAACTACATTTTGCTTCCGATATTTCGAAATATAATATCTAATACAAACCAATAGATGTAAAACATTTTTTCGGAAGAGTGATTTCACATTTTATTGGTAGATTGTGCCGAAGTTGGGTTCCCCATTTATTTATATTTAATCTCGTTCTGCATGGGCAAGGGCACGGTGATGGTGCTCGTTTCTTAATATTTCGCCGCCAATTAAAATATAAAAAAATACAGAAAATTATCACGCTTTATCGATATATAGCATAATTTTGTTGGTCCCGACCCTGACACTTGTATATTTGGAGTTTTCATGTTCTCACCCTCTGTGGTTGTGTGGATTTTTCTCCGGGTCTTCCATTTTTTTCCTTCCACATTTAGGATCAACGCACGTTTAGAGTATTTGGCTGCTATGAATTTGCGCACGATGAGCCACTTCGTTGCGCTATCGTGTGTGGCCAGGTTGCCTCTGAAAAAAGAGCTAATCGCCCTTTGGGCTTTACCCAGTAAAATAAAATGGTTTAGTTTTAATTTAGCCAAATTTCAAAAGATACCCACAAATTGCTACCTTAATGTACACCGCAGTGACACTTGGCAGAACCCTCTTAAATAAAAAAGACAGTTGTGAGACTCGGAGAGTCCCTCGTGGGTGCACGAGCGAAATTGTACAATTGTTTCCCGTGCCGGTTTCTGGTTGTGCAGTCGACTCGCCGGCACCATGGAGCCGCTGGGCACGCGGTCCAGCACCGTCGCTGTAGAGACGCTGGAGAAGTGGTGCCACGCTCGGCCCCAGCCGAGCGAGTCGGACGGCCCGCTGGCGGTCCTGCCACTCGGCACGGCCACCGCCGCCATCGCCCCCCACGCCCGGTGCCCCCCCTCGCCCTTCCCGTACCGAGATGACATCAACGGAAAGATCGCCCTATGGTATGATGCGCGAGTGCGTGCGCGTGTGTGTGGGGAGCGGTAGTGTAGCGGTTAGCGCGCTGCACTACGAACCTGGGGACTCGGTTTCGATTCCCGGTCACGGCAAACACCAGTGACGATTATCTGAACCGGTCCTGGGCTTCTTTTAGGTCGATTCAGCCTCACATGAGTACCTGGTGCGATGTGTAAACATCGCTGCTTGGGAGACAAAGGCGGCCGGGCGTGGTGTTGGCCACCCACCTCCTCGTGTGCCGTGCCGGCCTTTTAAGGTGCTCACTAACAGCACTTGCCCCTACAATCTGTTAAGGCTACATGGGGTATCTTTGTCTTTACCTTTGTGCGTGTGTGTTGCGCTGGCACGTACCCGGCGACTCGGATTTCGAATCCCGCTCACGGCAGACACCATCGGTGACGATTTTCTAAACCGGTCCCGGGCCTCCCCTCGGTCGACTCGGCCTCAAATGAGTACCTGGTGCTGTGTGTAGTAAACATCACCACTAGGGAGACAAAGGCGGCCGGGCGTGGTGCTGGCCTCCCATCGCCTCGTGTGCTGTTCCGGCTGTCACAGGTGTTCGCTAACAGCAGTCTGGCTATACGCGAAGTGCTGTGAGGTTGTTTTTAACTCCTTGTTGTCGTACGGTTATCGTAACCGGGGATCGCTGTTAGACTGAACTAGTTGGCACTAGATTCGCGGTCACGGCCATGAACAATGAGAGGTACTCGATGGGGTGTGCCGTGTTGCCGACCTTAGACGTGGCTGACGTTAGGCCATGGGTGACATGCGCACAAGACGAAAGTTTACCAGTGTGGACTTAATTTTAAGGTTGAAAAAAAAAAACCCCAACAACATCTTGTTAACTTGCCCTGATCTCCTGGGTACTCATGTTGCCAAAACCCCATCGAGTCTTTTTATTAGGCTGTCTCAACGCACACATACAACAAACACAATTACCGGTCTCATTTAATCAGGGGTTATTAAAAACCGGATAACGGGAATGTTGTTTATTTAGCCGCGTGGTATCACTGCTGCGTCAGTGACGACAATCGCTTTATTGCAATTAAATCATGATTTCCTCGACATTTTAAGCAGATATCGTTATGGGTCCATGTGACTGCTAATTTAAATCTGTTCCCAATTATAACGCGCTTAACATCATCATCATCACCGTCATTATCATCATCGCTGTTGTCCGTTACTGCCGAACTGTGCCTAAAACATTTATCATATGCAGGAGAACATTCCCTTAAGTGACGCTTTGAGGTCTATTTGAGTAGAACACATGGCACGTTTTATTGTGCCATAAATGTAAAGCCGTAAAGCTGCTAATGCATTCGCTGGCCAACTTAGACACAGACAATTGAGTTCATCCCAGACAACGGCAGCGTTGTTCGTAATTCTCACTCCAAAATTCTGCCCCTGCCACCGAACCGTAACGACCACCCGCCAGTTAAAAGCCACGAAAATAAATTTACAGCGTGTGTTTCCGCAAATGAAAACTTCTAGGACTGATAGTTATTTTATCGTGATGTCATCGACAAGAACTGATCATGCGGGCTAACTGCGAGCCCAACGTGACAGCAGGCAAGCTTAAGTAAGCGCTACGGTTGCACTGACGTGTTACGTGCGTCACGATATCAAGATCCACGAGAATCGTGCGGCACGTTTTCAGTCGCCACGGCGCTTGTGCCAGGCTAGGTGCACTTTGAGATCGCCGTGTGAGTTGTGACAGGCTCACTTGCCAGGAGTTCACGGGACAGACCCAGGTGTTATGAGTTGACCGACTGAAATGACTGCCAGGTGCACCGCTTGTGCACCTCACCATGATGTTAACTACCTCGCCAGGTATACAGGAGGTCGTCGGTTCGATCCCAACCCTGACGCCTGTACATTTGGAGTTTGCATGCCCTCCGGTTTTTCCCTTCACATTTAGAATCAATGTGCGTTTAGAGTATTTGGTTGCAATAAATTTCCACATGATGGTAAGTCACTTCGTTGAGCTATTTTTTTATGGCCAGGTCACCTCTGAAAATGAGCTATATAGCTCAAGTAGGCCTGACCTGGTAAAATATAAGTTTTTATTTTGAGACCCCTTCTTGAAAATGAGGAGGGAGATGTTCTGTGTTGTGATTCTCAACGGTCGGTGGTGGGACTCTCCTGTCCTCTGCGTGCTCATGGATTTCTTTGGAGAACCTTCATCTGGAAGGTGATTCGGGACAACTAGATAAAAATATGCCTTCCAGAAGACCACGCGTTCTCCCGAATCTCATGGGTGATGTGCTGTGACCTAAATGATCGGTAGCAAAAAGTTTGTCAAAAACACTCTGTGTGTGGCCTTAAAAGGAAACAAAATCTGTAATAGGCGGGCGTTTTGGACAACTGCTCTTTTTAAATTACGTAAATAGAGAGCCCTGAGAGGCAGTGTGGATGATAATAGTTGGAGACTGCACTTGGTTTACACCATGGTGCCTGATGAGAATTACGTAATTTTATATTTTCTGATTACCAGTTTTTTAAGTGGCGTATGAGTAGATACATTCTCTGTAAGCTTCATTCTACCTCAGACGCAACACAGATGAGTGTCACTTGTGTTGTACCACGTCACATCATGCATGCGTGTTTCGTTGCATAGTTTGCGAAAGTGGCATCCGGCAAAGTTTGCGATGTAAAATATATTTTTTGAAATTAATTTTTTTATATATTTTGAGACGACCCATCTCCGTGGCCTCACGCATGCAACAGGACAACATGTTTGCAGCAGGGGACAAAGTTGTAATTATTTTGAGTCATGTGAGAGCTCAAAGCAGGGGCTGGAGGACACTGGAATTGCCACACTGGCAATTACCACGGGTCACTAGCAGTGTTAATGTAGTATGCATTTATTTTTTTCGTAGTCTTACGGTAGTCGATGATAACTTGTGCTTGACACTGAAACCTACAAGAGCCTTGATGCTGCTCTGTGAGCCTCTCTGATTCTCACTGATCTCTTGAGAGAGCCTTAGTCTAGCTCTGAGCCTCAGTGGTTAGCACTGAACCTTATGAGAACTCTAATATGGCTCTGAGCCTTAGTGATTTAGCACTAAACTCTGTCAAAGCCTTAGTCTGACTCTTGAGCCTTAGGACTTAACACCTAACCCTATGGAAGCACTTAGTCTGGCTTTATGACCCTCTGAGCAGCAGTGCCAATTTAGTCAGATTTTTTCTTTAAGTAAGTCTTAGCTCTGGGTTTCTTTAATTATCCTCCTAGTCTGGTCCGCTGTAACAGTCCAACATGTGGCCAAGTATGTCGTTGCTAAATGTTGGTGTGAGAATGTAACTCGGTCTATCCTTTGTATATTCATATGGGACCAGTTTGCCATGCGTGGCGTGTTCCTCGGTGTGCTGCAGTCGCGAGTGTTGCCAATGAATCCTCTCGGCGCACGTCTTAGTTTGAGAGACTCGTTAAATTTGTCCCATCACAGTCGGTAGCCGTGCTCTGCTGCTCCCTTGATGGCCGGCGGTCGAGGCCATAGTCATCGTTGTCACAGTTCCCTTACTTAGCGAACGCTTTTGCACAGTTAAGAGCACCGGTGCAGTTGGTGATTTCCATCCACTCGCAGCCACCGTTGACTACAATAAAACATGAAAGCAAACCCCGCCCGCTGAATTGACAAATACGTTTTGCCACTAAATTAAATGACAAAATTAACGCCGGTCGGTCGCTGCTCTCGGCTGTGTGTGTTTGTGCGACGGCCAATTAAAGTTTGTGCTCGTGGGCATGAACATTCATTCCCAGCTTGTGACCCGAGCGAGGGGCTTACTTTCCACACTTTCCACAAAGGCACCTTTTCATCCGCTCTGGATCAGAACAGAAAACCTGAAGCGGCGTTGAACGCGGCGTGAAAAATGAAAGTGACTCCCGTGAATAATGGTGCTTTTCTTCGTGCGGAAAAGCATTGGAATGGAGTTAAATAAGTGAAATGGATGGAATAAATGAAAGGAAAACAATACGTAACGTCATAATGTGCGATGTGAGGATTTTTTCAAAGCTAAGTGTGCCGCGTGTAAATAAATCAAACGCGAATATTTTGCATGGAATCATTTATTTTGTACTGGGGAAGTAATTTATTTTGGCCGGGCAATGTGTTTTTTTTTGCTGAGATGTTTGTACTTTCTTTTTTCGTGTATTCATGTGGATACTGTATATTGGAATTTTTTTGTAATGGAACAATTCAGCCTTTTCATTGCTTTTGGCCGCATCGTTGTTTCTTCTGGATTCAAACCTGTCTGTGAGCCAGGTGGAGGAGCGTCATCTTTATTAGGGAGCCGGAGTGTTTGTCCATCTGTCAGTCAGTCCAACCTTGGCCTGAGAAATCCGTAAAAACTGCTAATTCTCACGCGATTAAATATCCACTGTTTCGTTGCTTGCCTATCGATGATTGGACTGCGTTAGGGCGTATTTTCGCTGCTCGCCACACATATATAGATATTTATTTTTACCTTTTTACCAGGTTTGGCCCACTGGAGCTATACAGCTCTTTTTCAGAAGTGACCTGGCTGCAAATGATAGCTCAACAAAGTGGCTTATCATCATGTGGAAATTTATAGCAGCCAAATCCTCTTAAACGCTTGTTGATTCTAAATGTGGAGGGAAAAAAACGGACGACCCGGATACAAATTTCTGTGACCACGGGGAGAACATGCAAGCTCCAAATATACAGGCGTCGGGGTCGACCATGCGAGGTAGTTAACATCTCGCCACCGCGGTACATGCAGTCGACAGTGAAACCTCTCGGAACCGGAATTTGTCGTAAGCAAAGCAGTTGCCTTGGAGATCCGCTTTCCCCACTACCTGCTGTGCACGTGACTTTGCTCCGTGGGTGATGGAGCATTCTGTCCCTCCACTCAGAATCTGTGGAATTATTTGCCCAAGGCCATCGGAGACTCGCGTAGTGGTATTTTTTTATAAACGCGTGTAAAAACTGATTTTTATTCATTGACCTCTTTAAAATAATTTATTTGTTTCCATTTTCTTTTTTGGTGAATAATTTTATATTGTTTTGCGTTGTGGAGTGCTGACAGCGAGGTGCTATACAAAATAATATAATTTATATTTTAAATACTTTTAAATAAACCAAAACAACTCCGAATGGCACACCATTCTCTTGTTCCATGAGTGCCCAATGGTACAGGTCTATGCTAATCATCTAGACATCTGTGAAAAAGAGCTTCATAGCTCATCGGATTCCTCCAGTCTAAATAAAGACTGAATTCCGATTCTAATCACGTGTAGTAAATTGAAGACGTGCCTGTCAACACTAGGAATTGTAAGAGCCCATTGTTCTATCCCTGACCATTGTAATAAATCCAAGGAGAAGCTGCAATCTTGGAATCTTCTTCTTCCTGTGTGCTGCCACCACAGTCGTGCGTTTATCCAGCGTCAGGCTCATGATGATGCTATGGCCAGTAGTGGATAGACCATGGCTGATGGCGATACGCCCAGGTATCTCTAAATCAGCATGTGCCTGCTCGCCCTTAAAGCTTTGCACAGCTAGCAGAAAAGTAAACCAAAACCCAATCAAATAATCACATGGAAACAAATGCGTACGTTTTAGCAGTAATGAAGTGTCGTTTCATCGCGAGCAGGTGGGCAGTCGGATGCTCTTATTCATTTATACACATGGATCAACATACAAGGGTGGGATTTTTTTTTGGCGTCGTTGAGATGCTTTTGCGTCACGCATTTCGTCCATTTGTTTAACGAGCTCCCGTCTCCGTGTCCTCTGAGCATTAGTCATTTCCCCGGGACCTTACACGATGGTCGTGGTAAAGGTGCAGCCCTGACATTGCGAACTCACGCCAGTGCTGGTGGAAGGGCGTCCACTGGAAAAAAAAAATCTCTCGAGAGGGCCCCTCTTGAGTTATTTGGTCAGCTCTTTCACACTGGCCAGATGTTCTTGGAAGAAGTACCCACGTTTTGTACCACAACAGGACAACCTACCAGTCGGCTGATGTAGCGAATCCATTTATACTGCTGGGTGGACAGAGGCCGGGGGGTTTTCAGAAACTTGCAACTGCCGTGCCGGAAGATGGAATCGAACCGGTAAACTATTTAACAATTTTCTATTTTACCAGGTAAAGGCCCACTGAGCTATGTAGCTCCTTTGCAGAAGGGACCTGTTCACAAATGATAGCTCACCGAAGTGGCTTATTGTGTGGAAATTTAGAGCAGCCAAATACTCTAAACGCGTGACGTTGTTTCTGAATGTGGAGGGAAAAACCGGAGGACCCTGAGAAAAATCCACACGGCCACGGAGAGAAGAGCATACATACTCGAAATATACAGGCGTCAGGGTCAGGATCGAACCAACGACCTCCTGTATAGCAGGCGAGGTAGTTAACATCTTGCCGCTGGAACCGGTGGCCTGGGATGGCAAGTTCGTCGTTACACCATGGCAACATTCCAAAAACAATAAAACAAGCTACAGTGATGATAATATATATTTTTTCTCCAAACAATTTTTGTTTTGCTTGGCAGATGATTGAGAATCATCGTTATTTAAAATCCTATGGATTTTTGTTGTTCTTCTTGTTTAGCGGCGGCTAATCGGTCGAACCGACGGGACGTCGCGTGTGCGCAGTGGAAATGTACGCCCCCGCCGTCGACCTATGGCGGATGTGTTACAATTACGCGGTTGTGTTACAATTACGCGGTTGACCTATGCTCGGTGTCTTGTATAATTATGCACAGCCGCAGTCCCGTTTAACTTGCAGGTGGCCATTCGAGCGGAGGGGGGGGTTGAACCCCCCCTCTCCCCCCCCCCCGAATGAGAGAAGGATTTGCCCCAAAATGCTACGCGTTCATGACCTGTGCTTCCCTCGCGGACGTTTGTTTGCTTGGGTCTTGAACAACTGCAAAAATAAATTGCAGGTAGCCTGCGGACAGAACCTTTAGAAACCGCTTGAAATTAGAGGGAGGAGACGCCAATATAAATGGGCAAATAATAATTGCAGTGCTGCCATCGTTCTCTCGGTATTTTTTTGTTGCCAACGTTCGTGTCTCTCACCCATGTGTCGTGGCGGGTACCACTCTTCGGTTGAAATGTTGTTACGTGCCGTGTGTTTTGTTGTTGTTGTTATTATTTCTTGTCCTCCCTTGGATTTTTTTTTTTTGAAACCGCCTAGTTTGTTTTGAACATGTTGTTTTAACTGTGGCTCATTTGGCATTCATTGAGTGACAAAATGATGGACGGCCTCAAAACAGTTATATTCCCGACCGACCTATCTTTCATCGGTGGTGCATGATATTTGAACCTATCTTGGGTCTCCTCTAGGTCGACTCGGCCTGTACAATGAGTACCTGCTGCAGTGTTGCAAACATCACCGTGGTAACAAAAGCAGGTGAGCGTGGTGGTGCTCGCCACACCATCCCATCGTGCGCCGTTCCGTCCGTTATAGGCGCTCGCTAACAACACTTGCCCCGACAGACTATGGAGGTTGCACGGGCGATCTTTGCCGATACTTGTGTATTACAATATGTCTCAGGAGCTAAATGCCAATGTCTTGGTCTGTTGGCCGCAGAGGAGAGGGCTTCAGGAGAGTATTCATGTAGTCTTGCTGTTCCTCCTATTGAAGGAGGGCAGGCGACAGTGGGTAACTGCGGGGTCCAAAATTTATGTTGCGTGGCCGCAATCGCGCGTCTGTGGCTTGTCTAATTTCCCATTCATTAAGGAGATTCGGCGGGTATTTGGCCTGCTGTTGACGTTTTCATGCGGCTGATGGTTACACCAGTGGTGAGCGAGTTGGTGGGAGAGCGAGTGAGTTAATGGATCCAACCGGTGTCTTCGAGGTGTCGGAATGTCACGCAAGCCAGGAGTTGTGGTGTGTGACGTGTGTCTCTCGAATGAGGCGTTTATTCTGGACTTCTGCATCCAGGCGGTCTCGCCACCTTCTCGCGATGCCACCCCACCCGCCGCGCGTTTTCACGTCGCCTCAAGCTTGACTAACGGCGTCATCCGGGGCGGCAGTACGGACGTCGTTAATTTGAATGTGCTTCTGTTCTCGTATTCGTTTGCGCGCGCGCGCGCGAGCAGGAAGGGCGACGTGGCGCACCTGAACTGCAACGCCATCGTGTGCCCCAACAACGAGCACCTCAACGACAAGAACGCCGTCAGCGACAGCGTGCACACGCTCGCCGGGCCGCAGCTGCACGACGAGCTGCGCAAGCTGAACGGTCGGTACCCTCGGGGCCGCGTGGCTCGCTCACGGTTTCGTATTCCCCACCCCCCCCCCCCCACCAGTTCGTGCCACGGTGTGGTATGGCGCGGGGTAACAACGCCACGCACCGATTTGCGTGGTCGCGGAGGACGTCGGAAAGAAGCCTCCCTTGCGTCGTTCGAGGCGAGGATGTCGGTTGGTTGGTGCTGTGTGCGCCGCCACCCTCGTCGACCAAATGTTACCGACATCGATCGTTCGCACCACGGATTAGGTGCCGAGTCGCTTTGTGCCACACAGGGTTAGCCGCCACTGGGGTCGCCCTTTTACATTTTTCAGATGAGATGTTGATGTACGCAAAGTGATCGTGAGACGCCAAGGCGTCATTAGCGGTCTATCAAAAACTCATTATTATTACTTCATAGTGATACCACACCCCCCCTGCCACTCCCAATGAAAGACAACTCAAAGTGTTCTTTAGCAGCCTAGCCAAGGGGACCCCCGGTGGCAGCTGTCCCTATTTGGCACAAAGCAAACGCAGTTTCCGGGGCCTGCATGTTGGCCATTGGTCTGAAAGCAGCACATGGCCTACTCATTCTCAGATAACGTTGTATGCATTCTAGTGATGTCACTGCAGTGAGATTGTGGTCATTTTTTTCATTTTTTGCATACGTGCATGCATGTACGGATGTACGCACGCACGTATGCATTACCACAGTGATGTCACTGTAGTGCTATGGCAGTATGCTTGAATGCCGCTTTAAAGTATTTTATTCGCATTAATTAAGCTTTGTACTCTTAGTCGGACAACCCAGGGCACACAGCCTGAGTACATACAGTATCTACAGCATGAGTAAAGCTGTTTGTTTTGGATTTTAAAATGTCAGAGAGCTGCGGTCCAGTTGGGTCGGACGTATGCATTGCGAACATCTCTTGCGTTGCTCTTCTGCCAGCTCGGTTGACCCCGGTCTGTGGCCTATTACTTCCACATGTTCCAAAGGAAACTTGATTTTATGCAGGTGTAGTAACTGACTCAGATACACTGAGAGTAGGAGGCACTCTCTCTATTAACAGCCTTGACAGTTCACACTTTTAGCAACTACGGTTCCCAGTCAGGACAGCTGGCAGACGACCTGACTGGCGATGCCGAGATGGTGAAGACGGTGACGAAGACCCCAGCTGCACGACGGGATCCCACTCCAAACGACAGCCCCAAGGTCCCCTCCCGGGGCCCCTTTTATACTGCCAGCGTGGCCTGGCTCCGTCCTGGCCACGCCCTGCCCACGCCCCCCCCTTCTGGAACCGACTAGCAGGTTCTCGATGTGGCCCTTCCGTAACCTTTCACCTACATCCCGCTCTCTGGTCTATCACGTGACTTGCTGTCAGTCAGGGCTGCTGTAATTGCAGATCCCCTTCCTGCCAGCAACAAGCACTATGCTGCTAAGTGACCGATTCTATGTCACTACACAGGTATAACATTTCAGAATGTCACGCTTTTTGTGGATCTTGACCCCTGCGTGAGTGCAGGCTTAGCAGAATTAGGGAAACGGGATGTACCTGGAGGCTAAATAAGCTCGTCTCACCAGCCAAGCTTGGAATACTAGCCATAATGAAGCCTTTAATTTGTCTAGGTGATGCTTAACTGAGCCTACTTATGTTGGAATGTTTGGCCAATACATTTCTTTAGAAGTGCTTTTTGTGTTTTGTTTATTGTCCTTGCCCCGCACCTCTGATTAGCAGGGTTGATTACGTACGGTGCGAAAGAAGTTCAACATGCATGCAATAATATCTATGAGGTGGCTCTCCCATGTGGGGTTGTGGGTTGAACCGTGCGTTGTTCGGCGTGATGTCTGACGTTCACGCCACGTCCTGGGAGCTTCTTGAGGAGCTGAATTGAATCATATAATTTGGCCAATTTTGGAATGTTATATTGGTCTCTCCAATAGGAATCTCTCTCCGATGGGAGTGTCTCTCCGATTGGAGGTTCGTGGTGGTGAGATGTTAACTCCCTAGCCTGGTATACAGGAGGTTGGGGGTTCAATCCCGACCCTGACGCCTGTATACAGTGAGGGAAAAAAGTATTTGATCCCCTGCTGTTTTTGTACGTTTGCCCACTGACAAAGAAATGATCAGTCTATAATTTTAATGCTAAGTTTATTTGAACTGTCAATCTCCCTCGGCCTGGGGCTCCATGCAAGATATCACCTCGTGGAGTTGCAATGATCATGAGAACGGTGAGGAATCAGCCAAGAACTACACGGGGGGATCTTGTCAATGATCTCAAGGCAGCTGGGACCATAGTCACCAAGAAAACAATTGGTAAAACACTACGCCATGAAGGACTGAAATCCTGCAGCGCCCGCAAGGTCCCCCTGCTCAAGAAAGCAAATAAACATGCCCGTCTGAAGTTTGCCAATTAACATCTGAATGATTCAGAGGACAACTGGGTGAAAGTGTTGTGGTCAGATGAGACCAAAATGGAGCTCTTTGGTATCAACTCAACTTGCCGTGTTTGGAGGAGGAGGAATGCTGCCTATGACCCTAAGAACACCATCCCCACCGTTAAACATGGAGGTGGAAACATTATGCTTTGGGGGTGTTTTTCTGCTAAGGGGACAGGACAACTTCACCGCATCAAAGGGACGATGGATGGGGCCATGTACCGTCAAATCTTGGATGAGAACCTCCTTCCCTCAGCCAGGGCATTGAAAATGGGTCGTGGATGGGTATTCCAGCATGACAATGACCCAAAACACACGGCCAAGGCAACAAAGGAGTGGCTCAAGAAGAAGCACATTAAGGTCCTGGAGTGGCCTAGCCAGTCTCCAGACCTTAATCCCATAGAAAATCTGTGGAGGGAGCTGAAGGTTCGAGTTGCCAAACGTCAGCCTCGAAACCTTAATGACTTGGAGAAGATCTGCAAAGAGGAGTGGGACAAAATCCCTCCTGAGATGTGTGCAAACCTGGTGGCCAACTACAAGAAACGTCTGACCTCTGTGATTGCCAACAAGGGTTTTGCCACCAAGTACTAAGTCATGTTTTGCAGAGGGGTCAAATACTTATTTCCCTCATTGAAATGGATTACTCCCACCTCTTCAAAGATGTCTGGCCAGTGTGGAAGACTAGGTCAAGATATCCTCCCATCAGGGCTCTCTACAGATATTTTTAGAGGATGGCCGATCTGCCAGCGGTGGTATGAGCACAGAACTGCAGGGCTTGCACCTCTACCAGTGCAGGTGACATGCGTGCATGTCACCCGTCCCCCGCCCCCATTCCGCCGCAGTCCGAAGAGGTGCTAACATTCATCGCAATGTTCAAAATAAAAATGATCAAATCCTTGATTCGAATCGTGATCCCCGCCCCGCCCCCCCCCACCAGAATTGTGAGAATGTATCCAGTCGCTGATTTGAACTGTTCCAGTCACAGTAGAATGCCAACGTTCACTAATGTTATTTTGGCAACAAAGCTGACAATAATAGCCGAGTACGTAAACTAATGGGTAATGCAAAAGACTGCTTTACATTTAAACTTTGGCAAAAGCGGTCTGCTTATGAAAAATGTGCATTCAACTAGCTTCTGCACAGACAGGTCAAGATGGAAAAGGCTGGACCGAAACACATGGCAAGCCTTAGTCCAGCAAAGAACACAGATTTTCCTATCACAAGTAAAACCTTAGTTTGTTTTGAAATTTAAGTATTAAACATAGACAACTGCTGGATAGTAGCGTTAACAACAATGCGTTTTATTTATTTTGAAAATCCTCACCGAATCTCAAAACTTTTTTTTGTAACCATTGGGAACGGATTGTGATTTACAGTCATTTCCATTTAAAATCAGATTTTTCACAGAGCCCATAAAAGTTGGTTCAGAATTTAATTTGCGTGCATTCCAGCTGTGTGCGCCCACCATAACCAGCACGATTCGACACATATGCCGTGAGCCTAAGACTATATTCTTCCTTTTCCCTCTATTTCTTAGTCTTTGTGTAGCCAATTATATCCCGATTATGCCACCACGGTGCCATCTCACGGGATGAAGAATCGATTCAAAACTCTCGTGGAGTACCGCAAACACAATGCAAAAATAACAGAAGTAATTTTGAAATTTCCTCAAGTTACCTCTCATCCGGTCACTTTCCAACCTGCCCAGCCACATGGTAATGTTTGTTAGTGATCATTCTCCGAACTGGCACTTAGCGAAATGAAAACTCATTTTTGAAAACGAATTTCTTAAGAACTGCTTTTTGTGTTTAGTTTGTTGACCTTCCCCCACACCTCCGATTAGCACGGTTGGCTACGTACGGTGCGAAAGAAGTTCTATATACATGCATAAAAAATGATGGGGGTTTTTTTTTGTCCAGAGTGATTGGTGACCGGGCTGAGACCCCCAACTCTATACGCTTGAGAACCCAGTTTAATCACGGGTGGGCGAAACTCTGATTCGAACCGAGCATCGAAGCTGTGCCAGCACTGATGCATCGTTGTGCGTGCTTTTCTACCTACCGCCAGACGAGACGTACGCGTGCACGTACGGTGAACGTCTTTCGCACCGTGCATAGAAAAACCGCGCAAAACGGGGGTTCTGACCTCTTCCTTCCCCCTCGGCATATATCGGCCAACCCTTGACAAAGCCCCTCAGCGGTGAACAGTTCGAAGGAGCGCACTGAATTACCAGCCAAGAGCAATTAAGCCGCAGCCTCCCATTGAACCCATTCACTTAAGGGGACCCAGGATTAAAATATATATATTAAGCCACTGTTGTTTGGCATGGATTTCGTGCAGTTAAAACACTCGCCGGCTGAGGCTCAAAATGTGAGCGCATTAGCTCTGCCCCCTTACAGTGAGGGGAAAAAAGTATTTGATCCCCTGCTGATTTTGTACGTTTTCTCACTGACAAAGAAATTACCAGTCTATAATTTTAATGGTAGGTTTATTTGAAGGTGGCCAACTACAAGAAACGTCTGACCTCTGTGATTGCCAACAAGGGTTTTGCCACCAAGTACTAAGTTATGTTTTGCAG